CACACACACACACACACACACACACACATGATAAATATATATTTACATATATAAAGACAGGGTGAAGACCTGGTTGCTCTGCCAACTCACATGGGACGTGAAGAGAGGTAACCAACCCTCAGGGTGGTGAGTGCCCTGAGGAGGCTCCCATAAACTAATAACACTTCATTTACCATCTATTCCTTGGGATACTTTATTCATTTAAGAACATTGCTTTATTGCATTTTAATTAATATGTATTCTTGTTTTCATTGTAAATTGCCCAGATTTGCTCTTTGAGTGAGATGGGTGGTGACTAAATTTAAAATATAAATGAATAAATAAATAACTCTTTACCCTTTCCCTCCATTTTCTAGCCTATTAATATTGCTTGCATCATCTACATCTCTGTAGGCAAGGAAGCTGCAAAATTGCAGTAAAATTGGTGTAAGTTTTAAGAATTGAGGCAACATCAAAGCAGACTAAAACTGTCTGGATCCATTTGCAGCAATGGTCAAGAAGGAGCAATCAACTGGGGAGATGATGGATGAACAGAAATCTACTGCAGAAGAGAGAAAAGGCTTTGTCCATCCAGTCTATTCTAAGAAAGCTCCCAGTGCTGCAGTTTCCTTCATTCTACAGGTTCTAGAGTCCTTTCCTGGACTTGTTGCTGGAGAAAAAGTGATCAGTGAAAAGCAACTGTTGCAAAAATACAGAAGAGGAGGAAATAGGGTATCCCACAGAAAAGGGGAGGGGACAAAGCAGTCCGTTAAATACAGTGGGAAGAAAGAAAAAGAAACACAGGAGACTCTGAATGTCACTTCTCTTTACAGCCCTTGCTCTTGAATCCCAGCATTGTACAACTTCTTTTGAATGTGGCTTTCTAACAATTTTCACTAAATATTATTTGAATTCTTGGATTTCTTGGAAGCTGGCTTTATTCATTCCAGTCCGGCCTGCCCCATACTTCCAGACAGGTATACTGCAAAGGTTCCCTCTTTTTTACTGGGACATTTGGTAAATTAAGGTCTACTGACTGTCCAGTAGAGATTATCCCCTGCTGGCAATGCAAGAAAGTGTTTAGCTTGGCAACAGTACAGACATGACTTCTTACTACCCTGTTCCAAGCTATTTTCAAATTTCCAATCTGATCAACCGCTGGTGGTATTTCTGGTGCCCTCTCATCCACATACAAGCTGGGCCCAACCCTGCTTGATTTCCGAGCCCAGATAAGCTGGGCCTGGTGCTGCAACCTGGTAGAACAATGGAATTTACAATGGGGGCAATTTTCACACACAGAAAAGAGAAAATGAATGAAACCATTCCGATGTCCTTTCTATTACGGGAGCACGTTCTCCTCAATCATATCTCGCATGCACACCGAACACTCCCTCCAACTTTCTTCACGACTCCCAAAGCAAATGCTGAAGCATAATACTGCATATATGTAAAAAGTATTTCATATAAGATATGATAAAAAAGACCCACTGCAGCAGCCTTTGCACAATACAGCAGGAAGATACAAGCTGTTCCCAGAAAGAGAACGGGAGATGCCATACAGAAGACTGAGGTAAGAAGATAAAGCAGTTATATATTTTACAGGTTGCAGATGTCACCCTAAAATCGTTGCAGCACCCTACTTCTTTTAGTTGTACTTGGCGGACTATAATTTTTTTATGGCAGAGAATCTGGGAAAACATATAAGGCTTCACACCAGGGCTTAGCGCTAAATGACAGACTCAGCCAGGTGAGGATTTTCGTTGAAGACAATTAATTGCTAACAGTTAATTCCTTGCTGAAGAGCAAAGTCTCCAGAATTTTAATACTACTGATTCCCACGTCATCCCGTTCAGCCCTTACACAGATGGATCTGAGAGAAGAGCGATGACATACCTGCCATGGCTGAACATCCCCAAGTTTTGCTCTATCCTGATCGCTAAGAGAAACTGGCTTTGCTCTTGTCGAATGTATTGCGTCCAAAGCATGTGCTGCAGAATAAACCCCATTGTAGATGTTGTAGCTCTCTCCAGACATGGTCATTTCAAACATGGAGCCAGGGAGCCCCCCCAGTTCTTCCTTCCCAGTGCAGCGTTTTTTTCCTTTGGGATCTCGAAGGAACGAGCAGTCAAATGTAGACACCCAGAATGAACGAATGAAAGGAAAGGAATTTAACAAAGGGTTTCTGCTCTCAAGGAACTCCTGAAATCTTGGCACCATGTTGGTGTGGAGTGAGAAATATAAGGAACCGTTGAAGGTATGTGCTGGGAAGTCACTACCTGACAATAAAGCAGCAGTGAAATCCCAGTGAGAGGTTATGATCCATACTCTGTGATCCATTGGTTGCATCTTAGAAAATTCAGAGACATATAGAATCCACTGTAAACTCTCCATAGATTGGACATCGCCAGAAACAAGAAACACATTGGTGCTGCTCTGTAAGAGAGCAGTCCTCACGTTCAGCAGCTTAACAACAAAGGACTCTCCATTTAATCTCAGATTTTTCATTACTGGGATCAACTGCATGAAAGCAATGCAAATATCATTCTGGAAGAACTTTGGTTGGAGATTTCGAAGAAAGGTTTCCCCACTCTCATCCTGTGATACCAAAAGGCCAATCCAGTTCCATCCAAAATGCTTC